TGTCTTCTTCTTCTTCTTCTTCTTCTTCTTCTTCTTCTTCTTCTTCTTCTTCTTCTTCTTCTTCTTCTTCTTCTTCTTGGCTTCAGTTTTGGGTTGGAATTAATTTCGAATTTTGTCCGAACGGTGGCAAGAAGGGCCTGCTTTTTTTCGATGTTGAAACGAAAAAGGATTTTGGTTTAGCCTGCAACATTTCCACACCAGACCTACGGAATTGATCGACAATATCTGGGGAAAAAAGGCACTCTACCTTGCAGGCTCCAGGAGCAGTGGGTATAAGATTCAAACCCCGGACCTCCTGGTTGACAGTTGAACAATATAACTGTTGAGGTGTGAGCTGCCATTCTTGAATCATTCAGAAATATCCAGACTGTGTCGCTGGTGGCATTAAAGGTTTCCTCCAAGTCCTACCCAATTCTTGCTTAAATTGTTCCGATAATTACCGCCCCAAAATTGTCTCCAAGTTACCCAAGATTCGTGTCCATAATGCCTTGAAAAATGTTCTTCAAATTCCCCTCAAATTCCCGTCAGGTTTGACGAAGCCCTGGACCTGGTGGCCTCCCCTGAGGGCAAAGAGTTCGCCCGAGACACGCACGTGTTTACCTCAGAGGTCACACTGGACGCGTCGGCTATCTCCATCTTCGATGACCACCTGGGAGAGGACTAGTTAGTGGCCATACAAACAACTCTTTCTTCATTCATATGGGGATTTTCATGCATTCACCTGTAGATTCATCCTTCTATACATTCACCCATTGAAGATCTAATTTTCATGCCATTTGTAAAACAATTAATTGAGTATTGTATTCATTAATGGATCCATTTATTTATCTTTTGCTTTACTTCTGAGAAAATGTGGATATTTACAATAGACCTGTTTAAAAGCGTTTGTTCACTTCATTTTTCATAAAAGGTACAACGGACAAAAATGTTAATACAGGTCTTTCACGATACTGACTTTTAAATAATAATATAATAAATTGTTAATGTAAATAATTCAGAAACAGATAATCAGGGAGAAAATGATCGACTTAAAGCTCAAGAGAGAAAGAGATACAAAGGTAAAAGAAAAGAGCAGTAAACTTATTAACAAGTGTTGAAAAGAAATACAGCAGTGCCCCCCCCCCTCCTTCCTTCCCCAGCTATGGCAGTGAGATCTACACCCTGGAGGAAGGAATGTCTTCTGTGCCACAAGGACTGCTGCAGGCTTTTCTGGACGCCGCAAAATCGTAAGGACTGATTTGTTTTTAAACTTTTGTTTTACTTAACTCTTTGGAGGGACACAGACTCGTAAGGACAGATTTGTACTATAAATTTTGTAGCTTAACTCTTTGGGAATACAGACTTATAAGGACATATTGTTATTTTGTTTTACTTAAGTCTCTATGGATACAGGCTCATAAGGACATTATTATTTGTTCTAGAACTTTTGTTTTACTGAAGTCTTTGGGGGCGCAGACTCGTGAAGACAGATTAGTATCGTGCCAGTATGTCTGAACGAATGTGTGACAGTGTCTGTGACAGAGCAGTATAGTTTTATTTTCTTGTATGAGTGTATCTGTTTGACAATAACTGCTCGTCTTTGTAACTTGCGATCAAAATGCGCACATTCTTCTTCGTCTCCTCCTCCTCCTCCTCCTC